TAATGCACAATGCACTTTATGAGTGTGCCAGATAACTTTCCAGTTACTCCATGAGACCCTCTCTGCCCTCACGTTCATACTCACCCTTTCCTCTATCATAGAAAGCTGACTTTTCGGGACTCCTCTGGCTTCCAAGGGATCTGGCCAGTACAGAATGTGATTCCAGGAGACTGGAAGAAGGAGAGTGAGATCTGGGTGTGTATTTGTCCATTGCCTTTCCTGTAAACTGCTTGGCCTGGCTGCTGCTCTTCTCACTCTGGCCCTCTACATTATTTCCTTTTCAGATTCCCTCATCCTGCTGACAGGATCAGAGGTGGGAGAGTCCATGATGGCTGTCTGCATGCTGGAGAACCAGCGCATCCAGTAGCTGCTCAGCCCAAGGACATGAAAGCTGCAGAATAAAAGACATCAAAAATGCAGTAATCCAGCACTAGTCCAAGGTCAAAGGCCTGGGGGCTCACTGACGAATTGCTGGCATGAGTCTTCATTGAAAAACTGAAGGAAATGAGTTTGATGTCCACAGAGAAAGATGGCAGAAGAGACCCACTCAAGCAGCCTGGAGCTCCTCAAAAACACATGCCTTCCTCCTCTGCCTCCTCCTTCTCTTCCTTTTTCTTCTTTTTTCCTTCTTTTTTCTCTTTATCTCATTCAGGATAAAAGCCTATTGGTTGGTTCCACCCACAACTGAGATGGGTCTTCCCCCCTTAGTTTGCTGGCCTACATGCCAGTCATCTATGAAAATACCCTGCAGACACACCCAGAACTGTACTTTATTCATCTGCTAGGTGTTTCTTAATCCTGTTAACATATCATGATTAGTGGTCACACATGGCTTGAAATGTAACCCTGGTTCCTTTATTCTTTATTACTCCTCATTACATGACATAATCCTCTTTCTTAAATGAAAACTTTCTGCTCCCATAAAGCTTTATTACTAATGCTTCCTAAGAATAAATCTTCAGAATGCAAATTTCTAGCTAGAAGTAGGCTTGATTCTCAAAGTGTGGTCTGAGAATTATCAGCATTAATAATTTTGGGGAACTTAATAAAATGAAGAATCTTAGGTCCCACCCCAACTTAAGGCACATTAATAAGATCACCTAGTGATTCTGGATATATACAGTGATACTTTTTTTGTTAAATTTCATTTGTGCCAAATTTGTGTTCAGACACCAAAAAGTTCTAGAACTGAACATATTTTTCTCATAAGAAATAATGGAAAACCAAATAATTGATTCTAATGCCCCAAAATTACACTTATAAATACATTTTTCTAGGATTTTAACAAATTTTGCTATGATTTCTTTCTTTGACTCTATCATGATTCACACAGCTTTCCTCATCTTTTCCAACAGCTTTACTGTTGGAATCCTTAACTTTCTTTGGTTCCATAGTTAAGGTGTGCCATATTCTACACAAAGGACAAAAAAAGCACAATGATGAATGTTTTAATGCACTAACACAAGCCCTACATGTTGTCTGGAAAAGATGGCACCTACAGGCCAGGGATGTAGCTCACTGGCACTGTGCCAAGTGTGAGGCTCTGAGTTCAATTGCTGGTACCAAAAAAAAGAGTGGTGCTTAGACTGAAGCATCACCCCTTTGTGTCCACAGCAAGATGCAACACGTGATTCACTCTCAGATTTTTGGTTCAACTATTGAGCAAAAGTAAGGACACTGAGCAGAATTTTTTCAAAGTTTACTGTTTGGATAGTGGAAAGTTTGAGTTTGGAGCCATTTGACAAAGTATCACGGTATTTGGATAGGTACATAGATATACATTGATATATTAGAGAGATAGATATATATATTTTAAATTTTTACTAAAAGAAATTAACAGTCACTGTGGTAGTGTATGCCTGTAATCCCAGAACACTGGGAGGCTTAGGTAAAAGGATCAAGAGTTTGACTCCAGCCTGGACAACGTCGTGATTTAGTGAGACCATGTCTGTCTTAGTTACTTCCTCATTGGGACAAAATGCCTGACATCCAGAAACTAGACAAAGAAAAGTTTATTTTAGCTCATAATTTGTACAAGTGTTGGTCCATAGTTTGCTGGCACCAAGGCAAGGCAGCATGACAGAGGAGAAACAGTCCATGTCAGGGTAGACAGAAAAAAGCAGCAGCAGGAGTGAAGCTATCTTTCCCTTTCTAGTCCATTCAGGCTATAACCCTATTGGTTGGTACCACTTACACCTAGGGTGAGTCTTCTGTTTTCAGTAAATGCACCTAGAACTCCACTATTCCAATTAATGGACTGATCCAGTTACTACACCCTTAACCCAGTATCATGCACGCACAATCCAGCCACCTCCCAAAAGCCACATCTATGAGCAAATAAGACTTTGGGGGACATGTAGATATAAGCCATAACAGTGTCTCAAAATAAAAAATAAAAAAGAGGACTGGGAATGTAGCTCAGCATGAAGGCTCTCTGTTCAATCCATAGTACTGAGAGAGAGAGAGAGAGAGAGAGAGAGAGAGAGAGAGAGAGAGAAAATAATGCACACAATTATGAAAGTGGAGAATCTCAACTGGAGATCCAGCAGTATCAATGGCATCAGTCTAGTCTGAACCTGGAGGCCTGGCAACTGGGAGAGCTGATGGTATAAAATCTGGTTTGAGTCCAAGTCTGAAGGCAGAAGACTAATATTACAGCTCAAAGACAGGCAGCAAAACAGAATTATCTCACTAAGCCTCTTGTTGGGTTCAGTTATACAATAATTGAGAACATACCATTCACATCAGAGAGGGACTCTGCTGATACTTTCCTCAGTCTGTCCATTCAAATGCTTACCTCTTCTAGAAATACCCCATAGGAATATCCAGAATACTGTTCAACCAGATATCTGGGTACCTTTTGCCCCAGCCAAGATGTAATGGAATAAAATTCTTACATTCACATGCACATAATTTGAGGCACTCTGAACCATCATCTTATTAATCTCCCAGTATAAGTCCAGTCTATAGACAGTAGATGGTCCCCAGTACCCAGACAAGTACAGTAAATGCCTATTTCCCCCTTCTTTCATTATTCATAATTCTTTTTTTTTTTTAGTTAAATCATGGCTTTATTGCTTGAGTGCAGACAAATTTATGCCACCAGGGCAGAGGTTGTGGATGATTCATATTTCCAGTTGGGGGAAAGAACCCTCTTGGTCTTATAATATCAAGGCAATCGGTGAATCTGGCTCTCAATCAGGATCAGACAGAACTTGGCATCCTTATCCTTTCTGTTCTCAAGATGCTTTCAAAGGGCAACTGCTTTCTTAATTAAGTGGTAGAGATCCTCAGGGAGATCAGGAGCAAGTCCTTTAGATTTAAGGATTCTCAAGATTTTATTACCGGTCACAAAACGTACTTGTGGAACATCCACCGTGAGAATCTCTCAGGATCACACCGATTTGTGAGGGAGTCAGGCCCTTCTTGGCCAGTTTGTAAATCTGTTCCTTCTCGTCGTCAGACGTCAGCTTCAGCCAGGTGGGGACACTGCGGCGATATGGCAGAGCCGACTGGCACAGGCCCTTCCCGGGAGCATGCATGTGACCCATGATGGAGCCATCTCCATTATTCATAATTCTTAGTAGATTTTTTTGGTAAGAAGGCTCACAACGAGAAAGAATTATCTGACACATTTTCTTTCCTCTCAGGAGATTGATGCTTCATGAATATGGTTCCCCAGCCACCCAAGAGATTTTTGTTTATAGAGTAAAATATTCCAATTTTGCCCAGTGTTGGCTATTTAATTAGAGATCCCTGAGAACCCATGTTTCTTCTACTTCATTGTCCAAAACCTGCTAAGAGAAAATGTATAATTAAAGTGGCAGGGATAAAGGGGGTTAGAGTGTGTATATGTGCTCAACTGGACCGAGTTGAAACCATTTGGAAGTTAAAAACACAAGGAGTCCGGGAGTTGAGAAGGGAAGTTTTGTGTAATTCTAACCAGTTAATGTCACTGTAATCTGCTCTCTGACTGGCGGGGGGGGGGGGGGGGGGGTTGAAGTAGGAAGGCCCCAGGCATTCTCCTTTGCGGGAGAATCTGTCTCCTGTGTGCCGGAGGAGGTCAGTGAGAACAAAGGGATGCGTCTGAGCCACCGCCAAGGCCGTTTCCCTGCAGAGACAGTTCCGCAATCCCAAAGAGAGGCCCACCGACAGTTTGAACCTCTGTAACCTTCTGGGCTCCTCCTCCCTGAGCCAGGCTCTGTGTGGCCTCTCCAGCCGACCCACAGCAGTGATGACGCCTTGCAGGCTTCCAGCTCCTCTGTGTGCAGGAATGGGAGGGTCGGGGCCACTGACACACTCTGGCATCCTGCAGCCTATTATTTCCTGCCTGTCCTGGCTTCTCTCCAATTCTCAACATGACAGGTGGATGGAGTTCTCGAGAAAGCTCAGCAATGAGCCAGTTTTCCAGGAATGCTGTTGCTAACTAGATTCACAAACCAAGCCAACTCGCCATAACCCTGGGCTAAAAGGGGAGGCAGCTGAGAGGGGCAGGGTTGAGTTCCCGGCCCCTCCTCGGTCTCCAGTCTGAATAGTGTGCTTTTTTGCAGCTGGTAAAAGCAACTCCTTATTCAGGCCACAGGGCTGCAAGACTTTCAAAACCCAAGGGAGGAACAAAAGCAATGAACTCATGCCTGCATTTCCAAACCAATGACCCAAGCATGGGAGGGAGGGAGCATGAAGGCATAAGCCTGCTTTATGAAGAAAAGTCTCAAGGTGATTTAGCAATCTGATGTGCGGGAGATAGAGGAAAACAAACAACAGCACAGCAATCCCGAATGATTTAGCTGGATTAAATTTAGAGAGAAAAAATTATTCCATTTGTACATTTTAGCGCTTATAAATGTGTCCGATCTTCCAATATGCTTATGCCTTTTTTCTCCTGAGTAAAACTAGAGTTAACAGGACAAATAGCTATGCAAATGCTTCTTGCCTATTGCCTGAGGCTGAACAGTTTAAGACAAACTGCCAACCGTCAGAGACTGTACTGTCCATTTCAATAAGCATTTGCTGTACACTTAATCTGGGCTTCCCGCTGTACTGAGATGGAAAGGAGAAGGGGAAGGAAATCAGAAGTAACGATAAGACTCTGCCTTCCTGGCATTCACAGACAAGCAAGAAAGACAGGTATGCAAATGGATATATTATATAAGAACTTCCTCATTAACAATTGAGATAGAGACGCATGTAAATAGTATGGCAATACAGAGGAAGAAGACACAGGAAGAGACCTCAATCCCTGGGAAGTGGGGGGTGTGATCTTTCCAATTTTGAATAAGCACAATTAGAAAGTGATACTAGGTGTTAAGGTAGTAAAACCTGCTAATGGAATGGGCAGTTGGAATGGTAATTTTGGGCAACAGGTCAATATCTGTTTTATCTTGGGCTCTCACTGGACACTAAGTAATCGCTACTACTTGCTAACGTGATCTAAAGGACTGATTGGATAGGCATTTTTGGAAGTCCTCAGAATATTTCCAAGAGCTGGCATGGCTGTGAAAGGATCGAGGTTCACACTTCACAAAGAGGTCCTAGAGATATGAAGCCAAATTCTTTTGGGATAAGAATATGTTACCCAATGTCCTGGACAGTATTGAAATAGTTTGCTTTCATTGCTGTCTTCATAGATGGCTGTCTTAGATTCTTAGATTCTTCAATTCCTGTCTTCATATCTTCCCCATGTTTTACTGTTAGTACAAAGGAATGACCTGAAAGAACCAACTATCTCTCAACCCAAATCACTTCCATCTTATCCACAGGAGGAGAGAGTGATTTTGAGGCTAATAAATTCTCTTCCTACTCCTGGACAAGCTTTAGAAGGTTAAGCAAAGGAGTGAACTGAGGCCTGCATATATGAAATACTCTCCCCTTGGTTTCAGGGTCTGTGAAGACTACATTTCATGTAAGAAAAAGCTTCACTTTTCTTAGAAGACTCCAGACCATATTTTTCTGAATACCAGTGTGTACCCTTGAGAGGGCAAGCACATGTGTGTGCAGGCACATATGTGTGCCTTTGAACTAAAAAATATTTGCTTAGAAACTAGGAAGGAAGAGAAAATATATCTGGATGTCACGCTGATAATGCTTTATTAAAAATGATTAGGGTTAAAGTAGGGGCCACCCTTGACTGTCTTGCCAAAGTCTCCATCACCTCCCTTATTCTCCCCTTCTCTGTCTCCTCCATGTCGAGGAATAAATGAGACTTAGGAAAATTACTTGAGTTATTGTGCTCTTGCAATTGTGCTGTTGTGGTTGGAACAGAGATGGGGATAGATCTGGGAAAAGGGTGGAGAATCCCAAAGGAGCAAGGTTATTTGAACAGGGAAGGCTGCATACTCCCAGAGCACAGTGCTCTTGGGGTAGTCAGACAGTCAGGACAGCTAGAGAACAGAGTTTAGGCTCTTAAAGAGCTTCTCCCACGACACTGTTAAATTATCTTGTTCTCTTACTACAGGCATGTTTCCAGTTTGAAGTTGCTTTCTCCTTTGTAATTCCTCTCTTGTTATAACAACATTTCAGTAAATTGTAAGGACTTCTGGGAATGGTATTGTAGGAGTTAGGGCCTTTCCCTTTTCCTGTGTTGATTGAGATCCTTGTTAGGGTAAAGGTGTCATCTTAAGAAGAATAGTTCAGATAATCCTGGCGCAAGTAAACCTGAGACCAAAGATCTTCTCCAAAAAGATACCAGTGGGAGTGCATGCTTAAAGTGAGTTAGATATTTTGATATATAAGGAATTTCAAGAGAATAAGAAGAATTCCTGTAAACTTGGTAGCCCCTGAAAGCTTCCACACTGCTCAAGAAGATAAAGCATCCAGGCACAGCTCCATTTTTCCAACAGAATGATCACTTGCCCATCCTGCCTTGCTCCAATTTTCTTTCCCTACTGAACCTCTCTCTTTAGAATGAGACCACCATACATCCGGTTTCTAAGCCAGGAACTTGGGTGCCATGTTGGATTCTTTCTTCTTTCTCCCTTTCCATAAATAATTAATCTCAAATTCCTATTGGTTTTTATCTTTCTAAATGTTTGTAATATTTTTATTTGATATGGGGAAGCCACTGGATTTGGCGAAAAGAAAATCTTTTTTTTCCCATTAAGTTTATCGGTACATTTTAGTATACAATACAGTGATATTCATCATTGGGATCTTGTACCTTTACATGATGTATCTTGGTTCTTATTTTTTCCCCTTCCCCTGCCCTCCCTTCACCCCCTCCTCCTTTCCCTATTTACAAAGATTTTGTTTCCATTTTTTTCCTGTTCTCATATTTTTTTCTTTTCCCTTCTTTCCTTTCCCCTTCCCCTCCCACTTCCCCTGCTCCTTTAGACTGTTCTTCCTATTTCACAATATAAATTATACATTTTGATCCTTATTTACACTTTTAGTTTTTCACACCACAGAAACTATTCAGCATTTACACATGTGTGTCCTATTTATTTCACTGAAGAGTATGGCCTCAATGTGCATCTACTTAGCTCTAAATGTCTCTAGTTTCTCATTCTTTATGGCTGAGTAGTACTCCATTTTATTAAAAAAAAAAATCCCACATCTTCTTTATCCAGTCTCCAGGTGATGGGCAATTGGGCTGTTCCCAAGTTTTAGCTATTACAAACTGTGCCACTATAAACATGGGTATGCATATATCACTGTGTTATGATGCTTTTAATTCTTTTGGGAAGATACCCAGCAGAGGAATAGCCGGGTCAAATAGGACTTCTAATCCTAGTTGTTTGAGCTATCTCCATATTGATTTCCACAGTGATTGCACCAGTTTGCACTCCCACCAACAATGAAGAAGGGTTCCTTTTTCCCCTCAATCCCACCAGAATTTGTTATTGGTTGATTTCATGTTAGCAACCATTCTTTCTGGGGTGAGGTGGAATCTCAGTGTTGTTTTCATCTGCATCTTTTGAACGACCAGTGATGTTGAACATTTTTTCTTATGTTTATTTGCTGCTTTTACTTCTTTGTGTGAGAAATGTCTGTTCATTTCAGATGCCCATTTTTGAATTGGGTCTTTATATTGGGGGGTGGTGACGGCAAAAAGAAAATCTTTAAAAGACTTTATTAGGGAGCAGTTTTAATAGCCGTATTACAAAGAGTTAAATAATAATGGGTGAGAATAAAATGATATAGCTATGATAACTAACAAATATTGTGGGATAATGTTATTCAATACTTGATCAAACTATGAAGAAAACTATCTAAATTATATCTCTCCTAATGAGTGAAATGAATACCCACTCTCCTCATTCCACTGATTTATTTCATAATTTGTTTTTCCTTTCTAAAATTAATTCTACCTTCTGATGAAGCAGGTATACAAAGTATCCTTAAGGCACAATGTAAGCATGAGAAATGACAAGGTATAGAAGAACATGAGACCACTAAGGGATAGCTAAAGTCCAGGGTAGGAAGGGCCAGTACTAGTAAGAGGCAGAATTGGAAAAAGTAGAATCATATCTGACAAGAGCAGCAATGTGAGCTCTTTTGGCTAGGCCACAGCTGCCAAATCTTTGGATTATGCATCCATTAATAAACATGTTTGAGAGACCTCCCAAATATATACATACACTTCTTTGTAAATTTTATAATGATCCACATATGAAGTGATAATTATATTCATTTCATATTTAAGGAAAACAGTAGTAAAAATGCAACTGCTAACATAATAATCCCTCCATATATATAGGTTCTGTGTCTGGGAATTCAAGCAAATGTGGATTAAAAGTATTTTTAAAACTTTCATCTGTAATGAACATGTGCAGATTTTTTTTCTTATAATATTTTCTGAACAATACAGTATAACAGCTATTTACATTGCATCTTCATTGTATTAAGTATTACAAGGTATCTAGAGTATTAAATATCACAAGGTATCTATTAAGTATTACAAGGTATCTATGTCCTGTATATTCATAATATACAGGAGAATGTACACTATTTTATATAAGGGACGTGAGCACCCTTCTATTTGTCATCCATTTGGGGGGTTCCTGCAACAAGTGATCCAGGGAGACGAAGGGCTGACTATAGTTTTCTTGCACACAAAAGGATTGTCTTTTGTAGCTTCAATCTGGTGTGATGAAGATACTTTATGAAGATGAAGATGAGGGCATATTCATTATTTTGTAGAACTCTACCTCCAGCATGGAAGAATGACTGGAATGGAATCATTGAGCTTTCAAGTGTGTAAAGTTCACCTGGATGGTTTTAAGAAGTAAGAACCACAGTCCCAATGAGTCCATGGATGTGAGCAATTATCATCAATAGCTATTAATATTACAAATAGACAACCAGACATTTAGTGCCCCCAGATGGAAGCACTAGATACTTTATACCATCTATATCTTTGCTAAAAAAAAAAATTAAATTGGAATCTCATCAAGGTTGTACATTTAACAGATGGTAAGGAAATTACCATTAGGTAATTATTAATGAATAATAAAAATGACATATCATAAGTTACAAGGTTAATTATCATATAAATTAAAGGAAGTACAGGGATCAAAAGGACATACAAGATGACATTACAAGGATAAAACTAGAAATATACAGACTATAGGAAGTTCTGTAAGTCAATCAACACAGTTTCCTCAACAACTAAGAAGCTGGGGAGGAAGAAGAGGGTGATGGAACAAAAGAAACAAGAGACACAACAGTCAGTTCTCATGAAAGGAATTATTTGGTTTTTTATTCAAAAGATTGTGACAAAATTGTACAGAGAGATGATTATAGATCTTGACAATATACTCTGTATTTCAAAAAAACTAGAAAGGAGTTTGAATGTTTTCACCAAAAAGAAAGGACAAATATTTGAGTATATAGATATACTTACTCTCACTTGAACACAATGTATACATTATAAAAATATCATATGATCCCTCATATATATGTGAATTTTCATATGTAGTTTAAAAATTAAATGTAAAAGTTATGAGACACCATGGGAAGTTTGAACACTGACTGTATACTTGATATAAAGGAAATGTCAATAATTTTAAAGGTATAATACTAGTGGTTAGATTTTTTGTTTTAAGTTTTGTCAATCAGAGATAGTGGTTAGATTTTTTAAAAGTTTTGCCAATTAGAGATACTCATTGAAATATTTACAGATGAGGTGATATCTGACTACAAAATACTCAGGGACAGGGATATTATTTAAATAAGATTGGCCGTAAGTTGATAAATATTGAAGGTGAGGGATAATTATGTAGTAATTTCTTATACTATAGAAATATTTTATACTCAAAATTCTTCTGACAGGTATTTTGAATTCAGATTGCTGGGTTTCACCCCCTAGAAATCTTGAGGCCACACGTTTGAGGTGGCACTCAGAAATCTGCATTTTTAATAAATGCCCTAGGGGACTCAGTATAAGATGGCCTCTTAAACTACATATTGAAAAAATTAGAGTAGATGTGCAACAACTCAGATGGAAGAAACAGAGCAAAAGAAGTCAGTATCTTTTACAGGGAAGGTAGTTATGATAAATATCTGCCTGTTTTATTTGATGGTTGTCCACAAACAGTTACACCAAATCTTAATTAATAGTGTTTGTATATAAAAATCATTCAGTGTATAGTTGCCAGCACTATTTAATGACTTAGGTCTCTTTCTCTTTTTTGTATTTTTAGATTTTTGGAGTCCTCTAATACTTGCTTCTTGGACCAAAGTTAATTCCTTGATTAGATCATTATCCTTATGAACCCTTTCTTCACAATTGCAATGGCAGAAGAGATGTTGCCAGGCCTTTCAGGAAGGGAGAGACACCCAGGTGTGACCCAGTAAGTTAGTATCAGTCCTCACCCCACCCCTTCCTGTAGGAAAGGATCTTATAACCTGGAAAGGGGAGGGAGCGGAGAGGTGGTCCATCTATTCCCGTGCTGTCAGGTCACATCACAAAGCAGGACACATGCTCTCCACCCCTGTTTTCTGTTCACATTGGAGACTTTTTCAACTGGAAAGCGCCTTGGGCCCTGGAGCTATGATGTGTAAGGAAGACAGGGTTGGCTGCCGTTATAAAGCAAACAGATGGAAAATGGAAAGGCCCTGCCATAATTCTTCAGAACATGGTTGGTCTCCAGCTGTTACCCTGCAGGTGGGCCTCTCATTAAAGTCAGCACAAAAATGCTGCTGCTGGTGAGCTTCCCTGGGATTGCAAACATGTTTTCTGTCCAGACACAGCTCTGCCCTTTTGACAACAACAGAAAAGCAGTCTTTGGAACGAGACTTCTGCTTATCAAGAGAGTTTCCCTGCTTCAGATCTGTCTGGAAACAGTTTACCTCAGGGTTGGCAGGTCAGCAGGTGGAGTAGCTGCAAGGGCTTTACCTCTCCTGCATAGTCTGGGGAGACCTCACCGTACCCCACAGGTAAGGTAAGGAAACCACCACAGCCAGAGATGGCCACTGTTTGTATTCTGATTCCATGGACAAAAACCTTGAACTGTGAAGTCTCAGTGACCTACCAAGGTCACTGAGCTCAGGGTTGGAACTAAGATCCAAGTACTTTTGCTCTTTATTTTGTGCATTTAACCCCTTCAGAGATACTTCTTTATTTCCTTTGATGTAATCAGTTTTCTTTTAAGTCCTATTCTCCTCCTTGTCCCTACAAACAGCCCACATTGCCACCAACATAGGCTGCATGCATTTCTCTATGTTCCACCTATTCTCATGTGCTTCTTTTTATTCTTTTTTCTTTAGCTTTTTCCTCTTCCAGAAGGAATTTTCTTCCCTTTAACCCAATTATACCAACTAAAATCTCAAGTACCATCAATTTCAGATCCTGTTGGGCCGGGGATTTAGCTCAGTGGTTCTGGTGCCTGCCTTGAAAGCGCAAGGACTCGAGTTCAATCCCCAGTACCAAAAAAAAAAAAAAAGTACAAAGATCCTGTCCAATGGTATGTCTTCCAAGAAGCCTTTCAGGATTCATTCCTCCACCCTCATCAAGAAGAGACATTTCCCTACTCTGGGCTTTCATCACACTTTGCTGATAACATTTGTTGCCACTCATATTTGTTTCCTTTTCTTGTATTTTTTACTGTGGCATGGTGGCAGTGCATTTACTTATTTTATGACTTCTGTTATAAGGTTTAGTTTTGAGCCCAATGACTTTGCTCTTGCTTTATATGTTGTGGAGACTTTAAAAGTCTACTGGATTAAATATTACAATCCTAATGCCTAAATATATGACTCTGTATGCACTTATTAAAGGGAAATTGAGTGCCATGGGGAACTTTGATCCTACAAAGAAGTAACTCTGTGATTCATCATTACATAATTAAGCCCAAAACTCTAAGCATCATTATAATTTTGTCTTTGCTAAATCTGTACTTGCAAATACTAAACACATTGAAAACAACCTGCTATATTTGTTCATTTGTTCTTTTTTGTGTGTGCTTTCCACACTTTTCTCCTGCTCTGCATAGGTGAGAAAGTAGGAAGGAGCAGCCGAGCTGCCTTGGGCAGTGAGAGTATTTGGAGGGTCAGTCCCCACCTTCTTTGCCCTTTGGAGATTCTGGATTGGATTGTGAGTGTGGGAGGGAAATGGCAGCCCTCGGGGGAGATTAATGAGACGGTCTGAAGGCTGAAGATCAAAGAGCAGCCTTGGCTGTGGTTCACATGGTAACCCTAGTAATCCGCAGAGGCTCTCTGATCTCTGTGCTCCCGGGTATCCCACCCCTGGAACCGCACACTGCATTTTGCACCTTGTCCTGGGGTCAGCACCCTTCTCCATTTAGCTGTCTCCACTTGGCGCTAGTTACCCCCCCCGCCCCGCTCGTCCCCCTGCAAGACTGCAAGTCTGCTGTTGTCTTCGGATAACCAACCCACTGCCTAGCCCTCGGCAGCACCCGCAAGGAAATTTTTACCAAATGAATTAGAAACTGATTTTTTAGTAGGAAAATTCAGCAGCAGTGTGCTTAAACTTTTCTCAAAGTACCCATTTAAATGACTGATCCTAACTGGTCTCCTAAATGCAACCTCTGACTTTACTAACTTATAATCAAGTCATAAACCTCATAAAAGTCTGCCTTTTAAATAATCTATTTAATGTCATCTGGAATTTACCCCAAAATAATCTGTTGGTAAGTAGGAGATGCAGGTAAAGTAAAAAATCAAACCTAGACTGGCCAGAAGTTGATGATTGAAGCCAGTGATGGTATCAGGGGGCTCATGATAATATATTTTTCATATTTTAGGTATGCTTTGAAATCTTCCTTAATATTTTTTTTTCTTTAAAAATAATATTTTGTTCTCCAATTCTGCCTCCCAATAATTCTTGTGTGGTTAACTTTTCTGTTTCAGTATTTGGGAATCAATTTTATCCTCTGATGCCTCTGCCTTCCTTATTACCCCCTTTATATCATTATCTGTTCCTGACCTCACTTCATGAAACGTGTCTACCTGCCTGGTGAATCTCAAGTACCCATCAAAGAGCCCAAGAATCTTGGACCTTGCCAGACTGAATACTCAGACTCCTTTCGTAACCATTTAAAAATATGCCATGGTATCTGGAGTTCCAAGTCCAGGGGTTTTCTTTGCACTAGGGACTTCAAACACCACCACAGGACTGCAAACAGGAGCCAAGTGGGGGCTCATTTGTGAAAGCACTGTATTAGTCTATTTGTGTCCACTCCCCTCCATTTTTATCAGCAAAGCATCTATTAGTGAGCAATTACCAATTCACCGACCTGAGAGCTTTCTGCTGTGAAATATTTCCCAGTGAATCAACAAGCCAAGTTGTTGGACTGCTATGAATGATAAAATGGCATCCTTGGTCCTCTTTTTGATACTCAGACTATATTGTTGCCCTGGGAAGAAACAAGCTCCAAACTCACATTTAAGACCCCAGATAAAAAAGTGACGCTCAAGTTGCGCTTCACAGGTGTTTTGGCACTAGCACGTCCACCAGGGAATTTCTTAAGTCAAATGAGCAGATGGACTTGCCATTTGATATCCTGAGCTTGTCCTGCACGAATCAACTCCTAAATATTATTCTGCTCTGTGGGCAATTCTCTGCAATCAAATCTCTGGTAGGTTTCCCTTGAAAACTGCTCTTGGAAATTCACCTGACGTGTTTCCTTCCTCTAAAGCTTGTGTAACTACACAGACAGAAGACTTCTTGGGCCAAAGAGATTCCTGCACAACCAAGAATGGCAAAATAAATAATAGTTTGACTGGTGAGAAGAAGAAAGATGCACCAGAGCCTGGATTTATAACTGCTAACCATTCTTCTCATTTTGCTCAGGAAAGGTACTTTTCTAATCCACCTGCTCAATTATTTCTCATGCTATGTGTCTCCTCTTAATTGTCACTGGGGCAAAGCCTTTATGTTGTAAGGGGACACCCTAGTATTTTTTTTAAAGACCTTAGGCGAAGTGATTGACACTGGATCCTGGAGTCAGATGTTCCCAGTGACGCAACTTGTTCTTCCAGTGGCCGAAAAGCTTCCTGCCACGATTAAGTTAGAACTGTGAAAGTGCTAAAATGTGTTGTCAGCCTTCCTCTGATGCAAGCACTTTTATTATAGAGCCTAGTTGCAAGGAGTATAGAAACATGAATCCTGTCTCCAAATACCTCTCCTCTCTGGACTAGGCACTCTATGCACAAAGGCAATGTGTTCTCTACATGCCCTGGGAGCTTGAAATACACAAGGTAACAGTCATGCCTCCACCAAACTCAGCTTTTCCTTGGCTCTACTCTTGTCCCATTTCATTTGTTCTTCTGGGTTCATACAACAACTGAATTATGGTTGGCAGTCTCCAGTGCTGAAACACTCACCAAGTAGTCTAGTCCAAGCAAGAAGAAGCAACCCATTCTGTATTTGAGCTTGACATGGAAAATCACTTGTTTGCTTCTTCAATAGGAGACTGAGATGGAGCAAAAGTATGTTTTTATTGTTTCTGACACAGCCCATACTTCCTATGCAAATGCTTGAGAACCTGGGAGCAATGGGTGTCAGATACACCACCATCCAGTGTTGGAAGATCCATTCCCTCTTAAAACAACACAAAGGCCTTTGTCAACTCCCCTCTTCCTGGGTGGTTTCCCTGAGCCTGCTGCAGGGTTCACAGGCAAAGGGTATTTTTTGGATGTGGCTGAGTGGTTAGACAGGGAATAATCTGGTTTATTACTGATGCATTAATTTATGGATGCTGTGCTACAACTAGTGCAATAATACCAAAACACACACAAAGCTATGGACCATAAAATTTTCTAATTAAATTGGAAAGGATGGAGAAACCAATAGGGAGAAGACTATACTACCATTATATTTATGCTTGACTCTTGTAAGTATTTATTCCAGATTACCATAGACACTGTGTCCCCATTCTATCTTGAAATCAGAGATGTTGGAATCCAAATATGTGGTTAATACTCAGATTGGGAAACTGGGCTCTGTAGATTTGTATTGCTTCTGGAGAATGTTTCTGCCTGAACTGTCTGAGCTAGGGTCATCTTAATTCAAGTGCAATGCATACCTTTAACTAACTCAATTTCTGTTACCTAGATGTGCTTGGTCCATTGTACATGCTCAGCAAATACTGAGAAAATAAGAGAATGAATGGAAAAGAACTCAGTGTGAGAAGAGAGCTAGCCTGAATCAGCAGTTCCCTAACATTGCTGCATATCCGATGTGCTTACAAGCTTGTTATATTCAATGTCTTTTCAAGTACCTCTTCCCCATCGACCCATATTATTTTTAAATTAATTATAATAATTCAAAAAAAATTATAATAATTCAAATATTATAGACATTTCTAAACAAAAATCATCTCCTTCCTTTTTCTTGAAGCAAGACCCCAACGATGCAAACACTCTTAACAACTCACCGTGTGTTCCTTTGTATTTTTTCTTTGTTTACACAAATGCACAGCCTTTCACCTTGCCATATAAAAATGACATTGAATGAAAATACTTGTTAAAACTTGACTTTTCACATAATGTATTGCACTCTTCCCAGTTAATACAATACATCCCAAGCTGCTTCATTCACTTCATTTTCCTCCATAGCACCCCACAATATAATTACATATTGATTCTTTCAAAGGTTGTTTGTGTGGGCTCATAAACGTTGGAAACTCAGAAATAAATATTCTTGCAATATTGTTATATCTGTTTTTCAGATAATTTTTCAGAAGTATGATCATTTGAATAAAACGCATGGGTATTTAAATTTAAAGAAAATGTGGCCATGTGACCCGGGTTGTATGCTTTTATCAACACCATATTTTTCAGGCTTCTAGGTTATTATAAATCAATTGAGAAATGAATGGTATCATCTTGCAGTTAGTAATTTGCATTCTGGGATATTCTGTGGGTTTTTAATAGAATCCTGAGTCGTACTTTGACCCTACCAACCCGGAATCTCCAGAGCCAGCGCCAGGGAGTCCTGGTCTTTATTGAGCTCCTGGATGAATCAGATGCAGCTGGTGCTTGTACAGCCATTTGAAAATTATCAGTCAAGATACAGATAATCTCTTGAGTTCTGCTGAGATGTAAGCTTCTACTATTAAAAGACAAAGCCCCACAGAGCCACCAAAGCCCTCTGGAGTCCACAACTTGGCACAGATTGCTGGGGATGTTGGTAGTAGAACTGTGGGATTTAATGTTTGCCCCACTGGATTTGGGACTTACTTTGGTCCCGTTCCTTTGGTCCCTTATGTACCTTTTGTAATGGAAATGTCTATCCTGTGCCATTGAAGGTTGGAAGTGTTTAACTTACTTTTCATTTGTACGGGGGCTTGCAGCTAAGAGTCTGCCTTAAATCTGAGAGAAGACTTTGGACTTGGAATTTTCAGCAGTCCTGAAAATGTTCGGACTTTGGCAACTCCTAGAGCTGGACTCAATGCCTTTTACATAAAGGGATGGGCATGAGTCTTTGGGGCCAGGGGCGGAATGTTACGGTCTAGGTCTAGATCTTCCCCCAAAGCCTCATGTGGTCATAGGCTGGATCTAGAGTGTGTGCAGCTGGAACTGATTCATGATGCAGTGCTAGGCTCAAGGGCACTAGGATTAAGGGTGTGAGTGCTACCTGCCCTAAGTAGTCTGAATAAGATAACAGGGGCAGGGAGACGCTGTTAACTTCTCTTGTTACTTTTGCTGCCTTGGGCCGGGGATTTAGCTCAGTGGCTCTGGCACCTGCCTCACAAGCACAAGGTCCCGAGTTCGATTCCCCGGTACCAAAAAAATGAATATAACGTTTGCTGCCCTGTGTGTGTCATGTTGTTTCTGCTCTGCCCTGCCTGTTTGTTGTCCCTGCCTTGGAGTTCACTGATTACGGAAACCGCTCCAAACTGTAAGCCAAATCAATCCCTTCCCCTTTAACAACAACAACAAAGACAAAGCCCCAAAGCCCCAAACAAGCACAACAGGAAACCTCAAAAGCAGTAAGAGTTGGTTAGTGTGCAATGAGCACTGCCTCCTTGCACAGTCATGTTATATTTTCTACATGATTAAAACTCTACACTTATTCTACACATTGATGCACAACTCAATTTGCCAGTAGAGTTTTTTAAAATGTCTAGTCCAATAGGAAAGAACACAGCTGTAGATCCAAGCAATGCTAGGACTTGTTGAAACGTCCTTAACTACATGACTCTCACTAAAGGGCATGGGCTCCAAGGGTGGGTGTCTTATAGGAGCCTACACTGCCTGGGTTAATGAGGCAGCTGTAAAAGGGAATGGAAAGAAGGATTTGAGGCCAACAGAGCCAAACATGAGTCCAAGTCTTATTTCTATCACACATGGACTATTTGATTCAAAAGAAACCATTTAACCTCACCAAACCTCACCCTCTTCATGGAAAATAAGGGTGACATTTCATAGAGCTTCTGGTAGGATTTAGCCAGGCAATGCAAGTGCAAATGCTATGTCTACCTTAAAGCTCTAAGTGAGCATGAATCACCCCTCCCTCTATCAAGGAGTTGGGTACCACCAGGGTTATTTTTTGAGATATGTAAAATTGTATATGACATGCAGAACACGGCTTCTGGTTGTGAAAATAGACCATTGATATTGTTCATGGATTTGGAGATATGGATTCCTGACAAATATAACCTAAAATGAATTTCCCTGTCAACTCCTTTTCTCTCTGTTTTTGCAGTCAAATAATTTCTATTAATGACCCACATAAACTGATTTCTTGAAGCTCTCCTAGTTCTGTCACACAGACTGACTCAAAGCATAGGCCAGCTATGCTCTAGAGTCAACTTTGAGATAGATATTTACAGTACCTCAGACTCTAATATATTGAGTACCAGGCATTGACATAAGCACTCTTTATTGGTTAATGCAGTTCATGCTTCCTACAACTCTGTGAGGTGTACTGTTATGATTCTCATTTTGTTTATGAGGCAACTGAGGCATAGAGAAATTGACTTGTACAGAGACACACAGAGAGTAATTGGTAAAGCTGGATTTTCAATCCAACTACCGTAGTCACTGTGCCATAAAGTCTTCAGGAAGATAGTAGTTGATATGAGGAAGAAAAACACTTTGGTTATAATAATATTTTTCTTTTTTTTTTTTTTTGGTACCGGGGATCAAACTTGAAACATCGCACTTGTGAGGCAGGCAGTAGAACCACTGAGCTAAATCCCTGGCCCCTGGTTATGATAATATTTTTCACTAATGATCCCAATGCTTGTACACCGAGATGTTGATGTTGAATGGGAACCCAAACTTTTGATCCTCTAGCCATCAGTTTGAATCTTATGGATTTAACCTCCTTTCTGGGACATGATTTTAGGCCAAATCTAAATTTCATTTTTCCACTTTGACTCCTTCTCTGTTCTCAAGCCTTCTCTGCCCTTGTGCAACCTAAATTCTTGTGTCTCTTCCCCTTTCCCAAATAGATACTTTACAAGCAGATGTTACACACCCATTAGAATGACTAAAATAAAAAAGATGGAAAATATTAAACATCAACGAAGATGTAGGACACTCGTTTTTTTAAATCATGCTAGTAGGCCAGAAAATTGAGTCAACCACCATGTTTGGCAACTGTCTAGCAGCTAAACACACACTTACCCTTTCAGCCAGGAATCCCCTGCTCAGCTCTGTACCCAAGTGAATCATGTACACATGTAAATAAAAAGTCATGTAGAAGAAAAACAATCACATAGAGGAAATTTTATAACAGTACAATATTAATTTCCTGTTTCTGCATAGCAAATTAGTCATTTAAAACAATTAGCAATTTTCAAATAAACAATCATTTATTATCTCACCATTTCCAAGGGTCAATAATGTGGGAGTGACTTCCTTGGGTGCAGAGCCATTTGGTCCACTAGAGGTAGTGACACCAGAGCCTGGGGTCCACAATATGTACTTAGTACAATTTCTTTCTTGCAGTAAGTGAGATGGATTCTTTTCTGTCTTTTATGGAGGGAAGGGTCCATAAGGACAAAAGTGCTTAGGTCCCATGATGGTCACAGAGCAGCTCTGGCTGTGGGGAGGGTGTGCCAGGGGATCCGGCTGGCTAGGGTCCCTCATAAGAATTCAGTCAAGGTGTCAGTGGAAGATTCTATGAAGGAAGCTCTACTTCCAAGCTCACTCAGGTAGCTACTGGTAGCATTGGTTCTTCTCAGGCTGTAGGCTGGGAGGCCTTAGTTCCTCTCCATGTGGACTTTTCCCTAGATGCTTGACTGTCTTCATGACATGGCATGTATGCAGATACCAAGGATCAGGAACCTTTGGGGGGTCATATCAAAAGCACTATCCTTGTCAGGTAGAAGCTAGAAACTACTGACTACCCATTGATAGTATTAAGTATGAGAAAATGACCCTCTACCTGCATGATGGAATTCTACACAGCGATGAAAATGAACCATTTATAACCACATATAATGATATGGATGTCATAAATATTACAGAGAAGAGGCCAGGCACAAAGAGTATCACTGTATTATTTCATTTATGCAAAGTTAAAGGCCAGCTATACTAAGTGTTAGAGGTCAAGGTAGTGACTGGTCCTTGATAGAGAATGCTTGGGACTATACATGAAGGTAGCTTTGGGGTACTGGAAATATTAATTTCTTCATCTGGGATGTTTGTTCTGCAGTTTGGTTTGCAGAAATTCATTGAGCTGTGTACTTTTTCTATGTCTATTATAATTTTTTTTTTTTTGGTACCAGGGATCAAACTGGGGACCTTGCGCTTGTGAGGCAGGTGGAGGAACCATTGAGCTAAATCCCCTGTCTATTGTAATTTAATAAGAGCTTTTTGAAAGTAGGTGAAAGGACACCTTTATTAAAGAGACATTCTAAAAATGATTTACGACTAAGCTTAAAACTGGGTGCTACAGACTATGTTCGTGTCCTCTCAAAACTCATACCTTGAAATCTAACCCCTGATATGATGGGATTAGGCAGTGGGGCTTCTGGGAGGTGATTAGGTCAGGAAAGTGAAGACTTTCTGATTGGAACGAGTGACCCCATAAAAAGGTCTCAGAAAATGCCTTTGTCCTTTCTACCATGTGAGAGCATAGCACGAAGGTTCTGTGTACAAGATAGCAGGCTCTCAGCAGACACTGCATGTGCAGCAACTTGATGTCCACCAGAAATGTAAGAAATACATTTGTGATGTTTACAAACCCACCAGTCTCTGGTACTTTTGTTACAGCAGCCTGAAAAGCCTGAGAAACTCGAATAAGTATAATGTCTGGTCAATTAATTTGCCCCAGGCCTCAATCTTACTTGCTTGATCAAACAAGTCACAGCAACTCTCGGATACTACAGTATCCTTGATTGCAAAGCAGGGTAGACACACACACTACTAGTCCTAGAATGTGGTGGGATACATCAAGTAGTATCAGATGCAATTTAGTCCTGTTATAGATAAGATCAAGTACTAGAGTTAGGGAATAATGTAAAAATCAAGTGTCACAGAAATTCCTTCACCGGGCTTCAAATGATGGGAATGCAGGCCTTTGGAAACTCAAAAGGCAGGAGCCAAGGAATTATCGCTTTTGTTTCTCTGTATATTTATACCATGGTCTTCTTTTCTGAAGGTCAGCCAATGGGGGAAAGAAAAAGTGAGGCAGAGAGGAGGATATCCTTCTTCAAATTTCTTCTCTTTTGTTGAGGGCACATGGTTGAATTTCCATAATAAATACAGTATACCTTTATGTTGACTCCAATATACGTGGAAATGCTGAAGATTGGAACAACATTTAAAAACCCGTTATTATTCATCTTTGGGACAGCTGTTTTCCCCAGATTATTTTGGGCTGAGAAAGTCTGTGGATAATGTAGAAGTTAAACAAAGTGACTATAAAAGCCACTTAATCAAAACAGAGGGCAGCTTGATGTTTAACCACGTGTTGGGACATTCAGTAGAGAAGGAAGCCAAAATCAACATTACATGTTATTATTAATAGCAATTTTACAATTTGGTAGTATGTGTTAGTTTATAAAATCCAAATTGTTTCTTTATAACTAATCTTATTCAGTGATGAAGCTTAACTTCTAGAGATCATCTGGCTAGTTTAACGGGAGGGCTGGCATACATAATGACATCTTCAAAGTTCAAGACCATAATGCTTTGCAGGAAACCTGCCTATATCTATTTATCTATCTATCATCTGCCTACTTATCTTCCTCTTCCTCCTTCTGTAACTCTTCCTCCTCTTCACCGTCTTCCTTCCCCCTTCCCTGAGTGAATGGAGGTGAAAAGACCACATGATCTTGAGCACCCTCTTTAGGCAAGGTTCCCTAGATTAACAAAGACAGTAAAGTGGGGAGAGCAGAGTCTTCAGACATCAGTCCTCCTAGCCTGAGCTAGAAACCCTCAGGCCAGGTTAAATTAGGTATTGTCCTTGTACACTCTGGGATGGTCAGGGAGGGGGCAACCCTGCCATTGATTTGGCTGATTCCTAATGGGTGGGGATGAGGTCAGATGATCTTTTTAATATATTTATATACACATGACATCATCTATGCACACATTTAACACTCACCTGTGTACAATAGAACCGTTCATGAAGCTACATGTGGCTCAGTGAGGACAGGTTATAGGAGAACTGTGATTATAATTCAAGGCTAGTCTTCCTCCTGGGAGTTGTCGTTCATGGTTAGTAGGATCATCCCTGTGCCTTATAGCTTGGCAGGGGTGCACACCTTTGAATGTGACTGGAAGGAGGTTCCGCAGATAGGGCAAGTCCTTGCCATGCTGGAAGAGCCCTGAGATGGCCACTGTAAGGTGATTTAGGGAAGAGAATAGGGGGTCCGGCAATGGGAGAATCTCCTCCAACTCCTCACAGCTAGGAGAAACATTGCTATCTCCAGATGTGACCCCATTTGGGTCCATACAATATAATTCTTTCCACATTAGTCCAGGACCCAGGTTGCAATATGAGGCCCCCTGGTGGCCGGAAATAATTCATGAGTTTGCTTTTCAAGAGTGGATGAGCAGGAGGTCAGGTCTAGCTGAAGGTACAAAGGTAGTAAATACTCATCTAGACCTAGTGCTTATACTAGAGGCAGGTGGAGTGGGATGATCTATCTGGGGGAAAGTTCTCAGTTAAACATAAGGTTTTTAGGGGTTGAAAATTTATCTCAGTGGTACAGTGCTTGCTTAGTAACAAGTATGAGATGGATTCAGTCTTCAGCAAACCCCCCGCCCCAAAAGTCCTTAGCACCAAATAACACTTTCTGATTTTTCATTCTTGAGTTCACTTAGTATCTCAGTTAGGTTCATGTGGCGTTCCTTATGAGACTTAACGTTAAATATAACATTAGAGTTAACGAAAAGGACATTCCACATTTCTAAGGGACTTTGGAAGTGGAATGAAATATTATACCACCAACCTGAGAGGAAGTGAGTGGCATCTTCAGAGACTGAAGAGATAATAACCGGTGAGAGAGCAGTTACTCAGATAAAGGGAGGCTTTCAGAAGAGGGCATCGGAGTGGGAGTGGTGACACAAACCAGGACTGGGGTGGCTTGCGATGGAGGAAAGGGTGGCATTATCATTATAGCGGAGGGAAAAGAGAACTCTGGACAGACAGGAAGGCAGGAAAACCAGAGCCCTTGCAGGAATGGCAAATAGTCTGGCTAACTTGGTGGAGCTTTGGGAGTGAGAGTGAGAGTGAAAATTGATACACATGTTTGGAACAGACTGGAGAACATTGAATTTTGCTTGAGAAATTTCTTCATACAGCAGTGGGGAGAATGACTCTCTTGGGGCAGAAAGAGCCGAGTCAAACTCAGCCTTATCCATGGACATTGAATGGGCACAGTTCCACTCATGCGCATTGGCTGGGCGGAATCTTGACTACTTCTAAAATCATTGAGGCATTTCCAGCTACTAAAACTATGCGAGCACCAGGGAGTCCTCTTACCAGAGGGCTCCTGCCATGTTTACTTAAATTCCTCAATACAAATCCCTCGTAGAACGCCTTTCAAGGAATGTGCTAGGCTTGGCTTTGATTTTTTTTTTTTTAACCAAGCTTTAAGTATTTGTGCCTATTTCCTTGCTCTGGTTTAATGTGGTTTAACTATATGAATGAGGAATATTTCTGGTTGGAGTTGTGGGACAGAGTCTTCATTGTGGGACAGTTCACTGTCCACAGAAGAATTCAAGCAATAACCTTATTTACAGTTTGAACCCATGGAGCCAGCTGCCTGCAAGATTACATAATGCATGGCATATAGTTGGTGCTCAGAAACCTGTGTTAAGCAAATAATTAATGACTAATTCAGCACTAATGCAATTCATACGCAATGGAACATTATAAAATTTCTGATTCCAGGCATTAATTTCCTAAATATAATGGCATAGAGACCCAGAGATTTAGTTCAGTGGCACTGCACCTACCTCACAAGTGCAAGGTCCTAAGTTCAATCCTTGGTGCTACTACTACTAATAATAATGATAATAGCACAGAAATCCTTAGCATATAGTAAGGATAATAATACTATTCTTCGGAAGTAATGAAGATTTTAAAAAATCTTCCAATAAAATTTACAAGAAGCAACACGCCCATTTGAGAAAACACAATCAATATTTTGCAAATGAAAACAGGGAAGCCAGGATTTAGCTCAGTGGCACTGCGCTTCCCTTGCAAGCGCAAGGTCCTGAGTTCTATCCCCAGTATGAAAAAAAAAAGAAAGAAAGAAAACAGGGAAGATGGACAATTTGGGACTGCAATAGAAATAACTAAAACAGAAGCAACTCTTTAAAAATTTTCAGCAGAAAAAAAAAAAAATTTCAGCAGCAAGGAGTATTTATTACTTTGAATAAAATGTACATTAAACCTTTATATAAAAATCATCAAAAGTGCTATACATGATTATTTTAATATTAACTTAACCCCCCACATCATCTATCAGCTATACTTTTTATTTTATTTCTGACTCATCATTAGAATCACCTAAAACTGTCCAATGTTACAATATAAAAAATATTAGTTTATTTTTCAAGGTAAAGTACCACCAGTGATGAGTTACGGAAAGTGAGAAATAAAAACGAAACACCAGCGAACCAACATATGGAAACATATTATCCTAGAATTTCCTATGAGTATGTCAAGTCCAAGGCAATGTAGACCTTCAGCAGAACATTTTTATAATACAGCTTCTTAAAGAGCGCAGGTTATTTCTTTTGGAGGCAGGCATCTCTTGTCCCAGGACTATCTCATTATTTTCTCATCACTCCTTGGCTACTTCCCAAAGTGAACCAAACACGGCCCTAATGCTGTGTATGTCCTATGCCCCCCGGCAAAGTGTATAACATAAAGAGAAAGCTGATTCTTCTGTCTTAGTAAACAGCCCTTAGGAATAAGTTTGTCATTAAAGAAGGCATTCACAAAGCAGACATTAAAGAAGACAGGTCGTTCCTCACAAATGAGGACTACATCCAGCCTTCCCCTTCAACCCACCCCCATTTTTCTAGTCTACTCCAAAGCCAGATCATCCCCTCCCCGGCCGGTCCTGGATGAATGGGCTGACTGAGTCACAGCAGGTTTTCCTTCCGCATTTCCCATTTGGTCTCATTCAGTCTTAAGCAAACAAGCTTCTTTGATTGGCCACCAGAGCTGTCTGACTCTCCCGTCGCTTGGCTTTCTTTCTCCTTTGTCTCACCTTCCAGCACAAGGCGCTGGAAGCTAACAGGAAAAGTCCAGAGGAGAGAAGAACCAGGCCCAAGATGGAGATAATGGAGCCGTGGGAATTGAAGCTGTAAGCCACGGCGGTGACCACTATCCCTGTGATGAAGACCACCACGGCGAAGGGGATGATGCAGCGGTAGCAGGAGAGCTCAGCACCCCCTGTCGCAGCCATCAGCTGGACCTCACTGACCAGGGGGACTGTGGTGACCACCACTTCGCTCTTGGGGTTTTTCTCCATCGGCGCTGGCGTGGGAGACTTTGGGACTCCCGGGCTCTCTTTTACAGGCTCTTCAGTCATTTTTACAGCGGTTCTTCCTAGCTAGGTTTACAGACTAGAGCTCCAGAGTCTCCCCAGGGTAGAAGCTGTGGAGAAGACAGGAAATAGTATCACCTCACTGAATCAGCATGAGCCCTGCCTGTGGAAGGAAGGAGAAGCACTTCCCTTCCTGATGGATCAATGCATGTGCAAATCAACTTCACTTTTTTCAAATCGGTTGCATTCCCTTGGCATTTGAGCAAAAAAAGCTAGATGAAGCTGTTAAACATAAAAAGGAAAAGACATTAAAAGCAAGAAACCTTTTTCAGTGTTTTAATATGCTCTGGCAGTCTGCGATGTTTTATAAGCTTTTTCACTTTATTCATTGCTTCTCTTTTCTCTAAACTCAGAAAGGCCTGAATCTGAATCCAAAGAGGGCCTCATTCAAGAGGAGAGCACATTATAAAACAGTTCATCCCATAACTCATAGCAATTTCAACTCTGCCAGTTTTGCCGGGCATAACACACATTCTTTCCAAACCATCACTCATTCTCTGCTCACGGAATCGATGTCAAGACCAGCAGCCAGCATACAAATGATGCTCTTCCCCATCGCCTGACTGCCAACAAGTCTTAACTGTGTTACTATTAAACACGGTGCAGTTTGCATTTAGAACCTTTTTATCCCCGCCCCCCACCACCCCAAGTGGCAGATGGGCAGTTCAGAAAAAAGTCAATGAGGTAAAGATCTGTTATCAGAAATGTGGCAATACCACCCCTGTCCATCTGAAAGGGGAAAAACAAAGACAAAGATCCAACAGCTTCCTAGAGAATAATTTTGTGTGTTTGTTTTTCAAGTTGATGATAAAAATCAACTCTTTGCTTTTAATTTACAAATTCTATCTCAAACTCAGCAAGGAATTTTGCTATTATGTACACAACGATGTGTTTAAATAAGCATGCTAGATAGTAAAATTTGACAGTTATTCCTTCCCCGTGTCTTTATGTATAAAACTTGTCACAAAACAAAAACAAAAACAAAAATTTGTTGCTTTCTAAATATTTTCAACCTGAAAACTTCAGGAAAAACCTTGATCAAAAGCATCTGGCTAAAATGCTCCTATGAGAAATCAGTGAAGTCTTGTCCCTGATCCCATATGTTGTCACTGTTTTGCATCCTAGAGAATTTGAGCAGTCATAGTGACCCAGAGTTTCCAGGAAGATACTGGAGGTGATTTTAATGAGATTAATCTATTGAACATATTAAGCATCAATTGAAAATTAATGCAACCTCAAATCAAATATCGCTGGTTCTTCCCAACCCTGGTTGATCAAAATACCACTCCCTGAGCAATGAAACTGTTACAGCAGCCTGCTTGTTTGTAAATTCTAATCAACAGATTAAATCACTGTTGTTCAATGACACTATAAATCTTGCTAGGCCAGTTAGAGGATATTTGATATCATTTCTGCAGACTAAAAAAACAAAAACAAAAACAAAAAAGAAATTCTTCCCAAAGCTGCAGTTGTGCTAACCTGAAAAGCTCTGTCTCGAAGCTACTTACAGTACCTTGGAAGGAGGTTGTCCATTACCAGGGAAACCACTGGGCTCGGAGGAGGGGAAGAATCAGCCACAGCTGCGGGTCTTCCTTTAACTTCTGAGAAAGAGCGAGCCTGTCATAGCAATGTGGTCAGGAAAATGACAGGTCAGACAGGGATCTCCTAGAGGGAAAAGAAAAAAGTACACAAAGACTCCACTGTAGGTTTGGTTTTGAATCCTGGAGGTCTCTCTTCTTTCAGGCTACCTCTCCACCTAAGTGACGCTTGTCTTTCCTTCTCTCTCTTTTTATCCCTCCCCCTCCGGTCTGCCCCTCCCTATCTTTTTTCCCCTAGTTCTTTTCCTTGCCAGCAGATTCCGAGTTCTGCTTCCCCAGACTCTGCTCCGTGACACCAAAAGTTAGGATCATTTCCACAGCGTCTCCAGAGACAAAGGCTAGCTTTTACGTTTATTTCTCTTGCAGCGTTTAGAAGCAGGCTGCTTTGAATTACTCATTTTCCCCCAGCCAACCTCCAGATCTTCCTCCCACCACCCATCAGGCGTTTTCAGGAGAGAATCCCAGAGTCAGCGAAGCAGACCCAGCTGAGGGAGGAGACAGAGCCGCAGGGCAGACGCTCCAGGGAGGCACAGAGGGGCAGAGCCCAGGGCAGAAACTCCGGGGAGGCACAGAATTAGCAGTGAAATCAGCCTGTACATCAGCAGAAAGCCACATTCCTGGGTCGTGTCTATATGGTCATCTGAAGCTTATCACTCACGCCACCCCCGTTTGCTATTAATTCATTTAGGAATGAGGATGGGGAATGCTAATGTTTGTGGTTAAGGGAAAAAAACCAGTCAGCTTAACTGAAACAAGATTGTTGTAGTAAGGATGTAGTAACTTTGGCAGCTCTGAAATCCTCATCATTGTCATCATTAACATCACCGCCATTTAAAGAGCATGGCTTAATGTTAAGAAATACTGCACAATGGGGCTGGAGATTTAGCTCAGTGGTTCCAGTGCCTGCCTTGTAAGAGCAAGGTCTGAAGTTTGATCCCTGGTACCCCCCCCCCCAAATACTGCACACTAACATTAATTTTCATTAGTTTATAAGTGAGGAAATGATGATTCAGAGAGGTTAAGTAACCTGAGAAAGATCACACGGGCAGAAAGAAAAGCTAAGTTTGAGCCCCAGGCATTAATGTGTACATCAATATTACATGTAGATTCTGGTTCAGTAAGTCTGTGACAAGGTCCCCACCTAGATGTCCCTTGGCCCACTTGAAGGAGCGAAGTCTTTTAAAACATTCAAATGTGCAATTTGACACATCCTGTTCTCAAACAGTAAAAGTTGAAAGTGTGTTCCAGGCTGGCGGTGGAGCTCAATGATATCTGAGGTCCTGGGTTTGATCCTCAGCACTACTAAAAAATTTAAAAAAATAAAGAAGTCTATTTCCCACCACTATACATGGCCTTAAAGGCTTATGCTCTCTTACAGACAAGCTATTTGAAATTTTAAAGTACTTGAAATATATGCAGCCTCCTTGGATCATCTCTTGAGAAAAAAATGAAGATGATCCTAAGAGACTATTAGAAGCTCATCCCTATACTTCTGTAGCTGAAAGTACTTTGTGGTCCATTTTTAAAATCCCGGCAAGTGTTACTAACTCCTTTTAATACAGTGAACCTGCCAACACACAGTGAGTCTTGGAAGAGATTCATCTTCCTGCTTCCCCTGGAATTGTCAGATCTCTGCAGTTGCTGGCATAGGGCTGGGATGTCCTCCCACCTCTCACCTGCTCTGTGACACCCTACTCTCCCCAGCCTGGACTAGTAACAATGTTCTGATAGTATTGTCACAAAGGGAGAGGGACCACAAGCCCTTTCCCCTAGAGTGGAAGCCAGAAGAGGGCTTTTTCATCTCAAAAGCTGAAGATGAAAGGGGAGCCCAGCATGCTGAGCCACCTTCGGCCTCTGTCATCCTGGTTTTAAGACATGGGACCTGCGGGACAGAAGCATCATGCACAAAGACTGTGTCCCTGGTGCTTGAAGATCAGAGATACTTAGAAGCGTGACATTTCGGAACTTGCAGAAGCACTCTTGGAAGACAGATGACGGGGGTGAGGCTACTCAATTGGAGGGTTGTTCTTTTTTGGTGTGTTGGGGGTACTGGGGATCAAACTCAGGACTTTACATTTGCAAGGCAGGTGTGGTGCCACTGAGCTAAATCCCTGGCCCTGGAGGTTCTTAAAAGAGCAGCAATCTTCTCACCAGAGAATGGTCGCCTTTGGGGGCTTTGTTTGTGTGTGTGTGTGTGTGTGTGTGTGTGTGTGTGTGGGTGGCAGAGTCTCACTGTGTAGTCTGTGCCAGCCTTGAACTCACTAGGCAGCCCACGCTGGCTTCAAACTCAGTCTCCTGCCTTACTATCCCAAGTGCTAGGACTACAGGGGAGGCTATTTTCTTAATTCAAAAAAAAAAAAGAAAGAAAGAACAAAACAAAGAAAAAAGCCAGTAACTCCAAGTAAGCTCTGAGCACTCCCTTACGGTGTGAAAGATCATGCTTCCTGCTGAGGTTGGTGGTACACACTCAGGATATCAGCTACTCAGGAGGCTGAGGCAGGAGGGTCCCAAGTGTGAGACCAGCCTGGGCAACTTAGGGAGACCTTGTCTCAAAATTAAAAATAATTTTTAAAAGGGCTGGGGTTATAGCTCAGCGGTACAGTACTCCTGGTTCAATCCCCAGTCCCCCCTACCCAATCATCCTCTGGAGGCTGGCAGCGCCTTTTATCATGGTGAGCCCTGGGCTTAGTCCATACTGAGCAACAGTGAGTGTGACTGCTCCCTGGGAGCATGGGGAGGTTTGCAAGTTCCCCTCCTCCTCCTTCTCCTCCTCCTCCTCCTGCTCCTCCTCCGCCTTCCCCTTCCCCTTCCCTTTTGCCTTCCCCTTCACCTTCTTTCTTCTTCTTTTTTTTTTTTCCGGTACCAGGGATCGAACTCAGGACCTTGAGCTTGCGAGGCAGGCTGTGGTGCCACTGAGCCACATCCCCGACCCCTACACGTACTTCTGATGCCAAGCTTTGACCTTCCCAGGCTCCAGGTGACCCCTACCCCACACCCTCTTTCTACATCTACAGGGTGGCAAGTGCCCATCTGCCTAGGTATGCAAACACACAGCTCCAGACTGCAAGCAAATAAGCAATTCCTATTGATAAATTCAATGAACTAAGAAGCTCTGGGATGGAGCAGAAATGCTATCAGAAGAACAGATACCTTTCATGGTAACCACTGTCACACACAGCTTTAAGAAACTTTACATCTTCAAATGGAAATTCAGAGAGGACTCCGGGCGATCACTGCCTAATGCTTGGGAATGTTTATTCTTCTTGCACCCCTTTCCTGTGAGGATTAAACCCGTTCTGGGATCCCTGCAGGGCCACCTGCTGTCCCCAAGAGCAACATTTCACCCAAAACACAACCAGCCTATTTTCTGCCAAAACCTATCCTTCCAGCAGGGAGGGGAAAATTCGCAGGCTCTTTTTCTTAAAGCACGGAGCTTTGAGGAGTCTCCTTTAAGTTTGCCGAACTTTTCTGAGAGCCTCAGATGCATACATGATATCAGTCCTCCCCGCTCCCAATCCCCGTCTGCATTCTGCATTTCTCTCCCAGATCTTTCAAAGAGCAAGGAAAAGATCCTTACCTTTCTCCGCCAGAATGAGACTGAGACCACTGCCAGCCCAGCAAGCCAGAGGGAGACGCAACCGGCACTAGGGACCGTAAACAAAGTACTCAGCCAGGCTTAAATACAATTAAGGGACCGGAGACAATTTGGTGAAAGGAAATCCTTTAAATGCGGCTGTATTTTCCTTTATGAGAATGTAATGTATATTTTTTAAGAAGAGCACAAATTTAGAAAAGAAACACCTCTCTTTCTTTGTCTCTTTTATACCCTTATTCAGGCATTCATTTCCCAAGTTTTCCCTACCTAAAGCTCCCATGATGATACTGAGCATCTGTAATCATGTGGCCCTACAGTAAATAATTCCTTTGTAAGATTTTTTCTATGCTCCTGGGGGTGTGGGATTTGGGAAGGGTTTGAGGGTGAGAGGGGCTGTAACACGGTCACATGCAGGTAGTAAGAGGAGAAGGAGGAGGGGCCGGGGATTTAGCTCAGTGGTTTTGCTGCCTGCTGCGCAAGCGCAAGGACCCTAGTTCGATCCCCGGTACCAAAAAAAAAAAAAGGAGTAAGAGGAAGATAAGGGTTCTTGGTAAAAATGCTGTTTGGCACCTATGTGGACCTTCTGTCTAAAACCAGCTTTTCATCAGAGAATGCAAGGAAATGATGGTGTCTTGGAAAATCACGTCTCTCGGGGACTAAGGCTACCAAAGTCATCACAGACCAGAGCTGGGAACTTAATGGTGCAGAAGAAACTCTCCCAGATTAAGTAAAAAAAAAACATTTTTCTTAGAAATAAGACAAAGTGATTTGCTGGGGGGAGGGTGGGCATGGAACTGAAAGAAGGCAGGGAGGATGGTGAATTCCAGGACAAAGAAATCATTCATCATTTCCCTTCAGTAGAAACCTGGGCTCTAGGTTGGAAAGGGAACGTTTTGGTTTTGCTATTGAACATACACCCTGCTGAAGACCCAGAAATGATGTCTCCTTGGGGAACCTTAAGCTTTGCATTTTGTGAAGCGGTCCCCCCATGAGCATTTGATTATTCACCCATATTCACTTTCAGTTTGCTTTCCTCAGTGTGGTTGAGCTGGCTCATTTCCAGCAGCCTGGAAGATGCCAGTTCCCCCCAGCCCTGTATCCAATCACTGCACACCTTTGATCTCAGGCATCGCCAACCAATGGGATTCGGGAAGCTGGCCAGTTTTTCTCCTTTCTAATGCTTCTTTTAAGGGCGTGTGTGCACTTATGTTCTGAAATCATGGAAAACTTGGAAAGTGATCAGCGCTTTTGTGTTCATTTCATGTTATCATTCCCCCTTGCCTCCTTTTTCTTTCTGTCCAAGGCACTTTTCTTTGAGGTCTAGGACATCAAATAGAAATATCTGATAGTAACAAGAACAGTAGGTATGCCTTGGATATAAATGTATTTTATTATTTGCTGGTCAGTTTCCAGATACTGGAACCTCATCAGATATGGGGAGCAGAGAAAGATAACAGATCTTTTAGATACACATCACGGCCCTATAGTCTCTTGTCCATTTTGTTCTGAGTACCTGTAAAAGATCACACAAACATGACCAGACTGGTTCACACAAGTAAGATGGTGCAGTGTACTTGTAGGAGGGCTAAGTAAACCAGCTCACACTTCAACAAGTAGTAAGTGTCAGCTGGGTATGGCGGTGCATGCCCATAATTCCAGCACTCTGGAGGATTTCAAGTTTAAGCTCAGCCTGGGCAACTCAGCAACTTAGCAAGACCCTGTCTCAAAATGAAAAATGGAAAAATTCTGGGACTATAACTCAGCATATTATGGCTTGTGTCTAGGTATACCTCCAAAGCCTCATGGGGTCAT